CGATGTTCAACACATTCACGACAAGGCGACTTTGGATGAGGCCGCTTCGATCAAAGCCTTTTTCGCTGTGTTAAATTTACGACCCACCCGTGGATCGCACTGTCCAAAATGGTAGTCATTCTGGAAGAAGTCTCCGACAATTTCCTCAGAGAGGTTATGAGAGACGCTTATTATCAAATTAAAATATATTTCAATTTCTGGCATTATACGGTAGAGTTGCGGTAGTCATACTGTACGAACCCATCACATTTGAGCTTCTTGGGACGAACAATGCAAAAATCAATAAAATCGATAAATTTTGATGAGCTGTCATCAGTGTTTTGCTCGCCCCGTATTTCTTGTGCATGTACACTTGAATTTTCAGATACAGCATCATTCTGCCAAGAATTTGAGCTAAAGTCTATGCCATATCATCATCTAAGGTGTATCTACAGTAACATTACAATACGGTATCTCGGGCCCGGACCACTTTGGCTGGAGCTTCGCCTAGGTGTCCCCAATCATGTGCCAGACTCTGTAGTAGAATATCAAAACTCCATCTAAACTGGCAAAACTAGAGCTTCAGGAATCTCGATCCACTGGTGGGTCGTATTGTCCGAAACGGCAGAAGGACTGTGTAGGACTGTAGAGCATGTAGGACTCACCGGTGGATCGTATTGTTGTGAATATGTTGAAGTTAATGTTTCTTTAACCTACCAATACACATGTATTGATTTTCGTATTGAACTCGCAGTTTTCGATTTCGTCAGTTCATATGCAGCTTTTCCCAGGATGAAGCGCATTGTAATGCTATTCTTCTTGTCCATGCTGAGCCTGAACATGGCTTTGCGTGGGGATCGTCATCGCGACGAGGGTCGTATGGAAGAGCGTCGTCTGAGCGATCCTCGTACGGGTATACACACATCTCCCTCCGAACTCAAAGACAGGAGATCATCTCGCGACGATAGAGATAGTCCGTTTGGCAGGGACCGTATGAGAGATGGCCGACGTAAAGATATGGAGTTTCCGAGAATCAGTGGTAAACAAGGGGCCAGCAAACGCGAACGGTGGGTTTGCTAGAATGGAAGCCA